GTAGAAATGACCAAGATGGTATTGCTTTCTGTTTGATCACAGTCTCCTTTTGCTTGGCAATGGCAATGTTGCGAAAAAAAAGTCTAACCAACACAATAGTAATATTTTTGGGAACACTTTCCTTTTGTGTGAAAGTGCGCGAATAATAGATTCGTGGGTCGATCCTACCCAGAAGAGAACTACTAAATCCTATTGTACTGCAGCTGTTTGGTTTTTATACGGCGTTCAGTTTAACGTAGTCCACGAGAGTTCTTATTTTGTTTCGGGTGAAAATGGGCCGAGCTTTCATCCATAATATAATGGGCATCATCAGAGCTTGAACTCATTCTTGTAAATGTCTTACGTCAACTCTAGATCAAGAAGGCTTTCGGCTTAATTAAGCAAAGAAAGAAAAACCTAGATAGATATGGAGTAGTTTGGCCAATTATCTTTCATACTGATCCTGCCTATTTTGCTCGAGTGTGTGTGTGTGTTAGCGTCTATACGCAATACCGGTCCTAAATCAGAGTGATCAAAAAAGGCTAATTTCATGCTCTGGTTATCAGGGCTTGATGACTCGAGAATAAGCCCTGACCGAGACTGCATAAATCCTTAAGTAAGTATGGTTGAGATAATGAGATATAAGCTTGTAAGTGTGTAAGGCAAGTTACGAAACCACCTGTCCTAACCTCTCAGTCTAGGGTGATTAACGTTTAACCATCTAAGGAAGGGCATACCTGTGGCTGCGTAATCTCGTACGTCTGCTATGGTTGATGAGCTTAATATAGCATGTTGGATGCTTGTGAATGGGTTAGATCCATCACTGAGCAGACAAGTTGAGTCACCTTCTTTTGGAGGGCGAAATCTCAGCCCGTTTTCTCCCGAAACGAGGGAGGACGTCTCGTGGATCGCGTCAAATTGAACGTCCTATTTAAGCCAACGGACTGTAGTACAACGGGTTTCAGCCGACCTCTTCTGTTGAGATCAACCTTCGAATCTCTTTTTCATGCATTTACATACGAAATGAAAGTCCCTTAAACATTTTTATCTCTCGGGGTTCATCTAGACCCAGTTACTCTTCATATCTACAATTGTAAGAATAATAGGTACTTTTGGATAGGAATAGATATTTTGTTTAGTTGAGTGGCTCCTTGGCAGAACTTACTCTATGGGATCGATGGGCTTTGAACTATTTCGATATATATTTTTTTGGCCAATTACTTTCCAACTCGAATTTCGCTCCCACTGGTTTATTCGTTACCATATGTCATCCTCAATAATGCCAATTGGTTCGTATTCCAATGAGACAATTCTTGTTATTCACTATTACGAATTGTTACCTAAATTTTTAAAGACGTCGTTGCTCTTGGATGTGAACTTATAATTTTCCTTTTTTATACTTTTCTGCTCCACCTCATCCATTCCCCTCATTCTCATTTCACTTATTTTACTGATATACTCAACTACAAGCTCTCTATTAACACAATATGTGATTTAAATACAATAAACTCCGATACCTAACTATTTGCATTCATTTTGCAAACATAAAATCTCAGAATCTTTTTACGCTCCCAGTGCTATCAGCCTTTCTTTTAGGATTGGACCCCTCCACTCAGGCGCCACATCATGGTCGTTCAAAATCCTCAACTTTTCGTCGGGCAGCCTCCGACACTCACCCACGAGCATCCACCGTGCTGTTTAAGAACCCTGCTAGCCAAGCGAGTACCATCAAATTGCTCGCTCTTCTTGCGACTTCCCCTCGATTGGCGTGTCGTCTTTACGATGTTGGTGCCTTTGCTTTTGCCTGTCGTGTCGTAAGCTCTGGCCTCTGTAGCTGTAGTGCTATTAGCAGCTCGAACACCGATATAACTGGTGTTAATTTTGAAAGAAATACGCTTTCACCTGCATCCCATCAGACATCATATCCCCTTCTGCATCCAACCGCATCTTGTCAAACAGCGGCTAATCCTACAAAAAGAACGGTTAGTAAGGCTAAAAAGTGGCTTGAATCCATATTTGCTTCTCATCTTCACTTTCTAGAAGTTTAAGGTTTATACTTTATGACAGTTTGTCAAGCACTTCGCCTTCGGCTTCTAAACCCATGTAACTTGTAAGGGTCCTTATAGTTTGGTCCTAGTCAGCATTTGGCAACATTCTAGCCAAAAAATGTTTACTTTAATTCATTCTGAGATTATGCGATCTCTTAATTAAAATCGTTTTTTATTTGGCCCTGTTAATTTCAAGCCAGTATAATGATTGCAACTAAATAATGTGTGTATTTCAAATTATGTTTCCTTATGTATGCAAAGAAAACCAGGATAAATTGAGGAGGCTCGATTCACTATTAAATTTTCTGTTTCTCAAAAGGGCTGTTTCATCCATGTATGGAAAAAGTAACGCCTCAATCACCACCCTCGGGGCATATAATTTACTCGCCATACTTTTTTCTCATATCCTCAATCATGGTACATTAAAACTCTTCTGAAAAATTAAGCCTTATAGTGTACTTTTCGTGACTGGTTAGACTACTTTATTTTGTTTTAAAGGCTTATTTATAAAGAACATCGACTTTATTCGGCTGACTGTATTTTCATCAAGTTCTCTTTTAATTTTCAAAATTAAGTATACTTGTACTCCTTACTTTATAAAGTTAAGTCTCTTACTCTGCGCTGACTTTTTATTTAAGTTGAGCAGTTGATCTTTCAAAATAGTTTATCCTTATCACTTATCACCTTATTTATCAACAGAAGAGACCTTCCACTCATTTTGTTAGAACATTCACATTTTTTCATTTATCAATTTTTGGTTTGCTCTTGTTAACAATTTATCATATTTAAAGTTTTTCATTATAATTACCACCTCTCTTCATCTATGGAAAACCTAATTTG